CATATTGGCCCACTCTTCTTTACTGTGCTGCTTCAATTTGTTGAGGATTGTGGGCATTTGTTTATGCACATATATTGTAAGGTCCTGCTACAGCATTTCAATTGGGTTGAGGTATGGACTTTTGACTGGGCCATTGCAACACCTTGATTCTTTTCTTCTTCAGCCCTTCTGTTGTGGATTTGCTGTATGCTTGGGATCATTGTCCTGTTGCATGACCCAATTTCAGCATGAATTTGCTTGGACATCCACTCTTGGGAAGGTTGGAAACGGTCTTGAATGTTTTCTACTTGTGAATCATCTTCCTCACAGTAGAATGATGGACTTTCATTTTCCTATGTATCTTTACAGGTGGAATTTCAGACCACAGTGTCAAAACACTCACAACAAGCACTAGTGTGTTGTTTAAGTGGGGTATCCTGGCTGATGATTTTTCTGTTGAAGTTTCACATAATAATATTTCTCAGCTGGTTAAACATGAAGTCTTCTATGAGTGGACTGATCTGACACCTGCAACTCTGCTCACTTTTACCCTTAAATTCAGACAGCTTCATCTGGATTTTTTAAATGTGTCTCAGACTCTGGAGGTTCAGACTGAAACAGGTATGCATTCTAGTTTTTTGTAGTTGTTGGGGGGGTGTCTGACAGTGTTTAGTATTGTTCTGCATTTAGGCAGAACTTGCACCTGATTAGGGGAGCACCTGGAACTCCATATAACCTGTTCTGAGTTTCTATGAACAAAAATGGAATACAGAAACAACCAGTGAAACTTGGAGTGAAACCAGGTTCATCTCACTGCATCAGTTATAATGTTTTTCTAATAAATCTTACCAAGAAGTCCCCCTGAGACAGATTGAGCTCCCAGGCTTATGTTATTTAGTGAGCTGCAAAGACCTGTAACTGCAGTAGCCTGTGACCTTTAATTTAAAATGTTTCCCTCACTGCAACTTGGCAAGACATTATGAAGAATCATATGCACTTTCCGTGCTCTTCTTTATGGATTCTTGGGTCTGGTGCTACACCAAGTTTATTCACTGGAGTGGTATAATTCTGATATATTTATTATCCTACTGAAGTGTCATATATTGTTGCTTTGTTTAGTTTGTACGTTCTTGAAAACTCCCTTAAAATTAGTTGCAGAATGTCACCTTCTCACCTGAAACTCACCTAAATGGGAAGAAGTATTTTGTTGTTGTTCTTTAGTCATTTAGTCATGTCTGACTCTTTGTGACCCCATGGACCAGAGCACGCCAGGTCTTCCTGTCTCCCACTGCCTCTCGGAATTTGGTCAAAGTATTGTTGGTAGCTTTGATGACATTGTACAACCATCTCATCCTCTGTCATCCTCCTCTTGCCCTCACACTTTTCCAACATCAGGGGCTTTTGTAAGGAATCTTCTCATGAGATGGCCAAAGTATTCAGCTTCAGGATCTGTCCTTCCAATGAGCACTCAGGGTTGTTATCCTTTAAAATGGATAAGTTTGTTCTCCTTGCAGTCCAGGGGACTCTCAGGAGCCTCCTCCTCCAGCACCACAATTCAAAGGCATCAATTCTTCAGCGGTCAGCTTTATGGTCCAGCTCTCACTTTTCAATGAGAATACCATTGATTCTCTTGTAGGACAGGTACATTTTCCTATGTTGATGCTAAGGGCAGATGGCTCAGAAAGCAAGGTGTGAACAAGATGCTATAGTAAAGGTCTTAGGATATGATAGCCATACCCATCTAGCTAATCTCTGAGAATATGCAGTGACTGACACAAAGATTGCATTGACAGGCACAAAGACTTGGAACACACAGGTTGCAAGTGACTGTGTTGTCTGTTTCAGAAAAGTAATCGCTCATAGAATACTATGGCTTCAATCCTAATGTGAGTTAATGTAAGGAAGTTAATTGAAGAAAAGCTTCCCTTCCTTCCCCCACCATTGCTCCATCTCTAAACCCCTTCCCCATACATACAGAAGCCTTTTGGAGGCTACAAGTAACTGTAGTATTTTTTTTTCATGTGTGGTCAAATCAGTTGTGATTTATGGCCACTATTTCAGGGTTTTCGAGATAGAGAGAATACTCAGAAGTGGGTTTGAACTCCCTTTTTCTGATGTCATTCCTGGGACTGTGCAGCTTGCCCAGCGCCACACAGGCTGGCTATAATTGTAGGCACAGTGGGAAAACATACTTCCAACCTCTGGCTCTGCAGACTATCTAACTAAACCACTGAGCTATCCAGACAGCTAACTGTAGTACAGAGGAAGGGAAAGGATACCTTTCTCCCATGCACTTCTTAAATTAACTTCTCTACAATTTTTTTAAAGAGTCAATAGCTACAAGTAATCAACACAACTATGAACTTCTATGGGAATACCATGTTACTGCATCTTGTCTGAAGCAAAGTTTCAGGATCATGCTGCAGGAAACTGTGATGGTTACATTTATTTTCATGAAGTTAAGGGATGAGAAATTTATTTTTTATCTTATATGAAAACATGGATTTGTTAAGTTGCAAGAGATTGATTATGGCAATTCTGTATATGTACTGAAACATTGTTTTGTAATTGATACAATTTCTAAAGAAAGAGCCATGTTAGTCTGTCCCAGAAGGTAGGCAAAAGCAGAGGAAGAAAAAGGGGGAACATGGAAAATACTGTAGCACTTCAAAGGCTAACATGCTGGAAAAAATCTGTTGTTTTTAAAATGGTACAACATTGTGCCTTTTCTTTCTTTTCTCCTTCCTTTTCTTTTTGCCAAAATGATTAGAATTTATGGAATTTAATGTCTACCTTAAGGTTTCTGCTCTGATGGCTGGACAGCTTTCAAACAGAACTGCTACAAAGTAAGTCAAGAAAGTAAACCATGGAGTGTGGCTCAGCAAAACTGTGGATTATTTTCTAATGGAGCACATCTTGTGGATATACGAAATAAAGAAGAGCATACATTTTTGATATCTTACCTGCAGTCATTCAGTCAAGTAATCATGTTGTGGACAGGTCTTAATGACATCAAGGTCAGTATGTTATACCTAAACTAACTTTTTGTCTGTGAACCTGGAAGATTTGAGTTCACAGTTGCCTCTGGTGTAGATTTGCCATGTTACCTATCCATAAAATGGGATAACAATGTCCTCCCTTCACAGGATAGCATGAAGTTTAATAAGTTTGTAAAAGTGAACATCCCAGTATAAAAAAGTGTATTTTCACTGGTCTAGGACCACAATAAATGTCATGGTGCTAATGATAATTATGATCAAGCATATGTTAAATTTTCTATTTATAACAGTAATAACTTCCCCAAAGTAATTTAGCATCCAGTATTACCGTATTTTCCGTGTATAAGACCCCGCAATGTATAAGACGACCCCCAATTTTGACTCTTGCAGCGGGTGGAGGTGGAGGCAAAGCAGCAGCTGCGCTCAGCTGCCCCTCGTGGCTGCTCATTGTCTGCAGCTGCAGCAGCCTGGTTGCCTCCTCCAGTACCACTGCTGGGGCTCAGCTCAAGCTCATGACGACGCATTGTCCCCTCCACCGCCACCTACGGCTGCTGCTTTGGCATACTTCCGTGTATAAGACAACACTCAATGTTTGCAATAACTATTTTAGGAAAAAGTATTGTCTTATACATGGAAAAATACAGTATATGATTCTGTTAATTGTAGGGCAAGGACTACACCCATTGTCTTACATGTTCTTATCGAACAATTTTTTTTTGTATCTTCAGTTGGCTTTATATTCTGAAAATTTCCAGCATTTTCCAAAAAAACCCTATTTGTTTCGGGTTTACCTAATAGAGATGCAGTGTAAGTATTGATAACAATGAGCCTCATGCCATGAAATACTAGCTGGGCATTTCTTCCAATGGAAGTGAGTGAACCATCTTATCCAAAGCTCTGCTGGACTCACCCTGGCAGAGCACAAGGGAACACGGTTCTCCTCTCCTCTCCCCTCCTCTCTTGTCTTTTTAGAGATAAAGGGCAGTGGCATATATGGGGAGATTTGCTGTAGCCAGCTCTGGAACTGTGGTAGTTCTTCCTCCATCATCTATTGTGTTGCGGGGTCATGACGAGAGCCAAGGAAGGCTTCATGTATGGGCAGCCACTTCTGGAATGCATAGAGGACTTTTCTAGAACACCCTTTTGTATCTTCTCTTACAAGAGTTCCTGGGCTGGGAAATCATCATATGAAGAGTTCTCTGTAGCCTCAAAATATTTTGCTTGATGAGGAGAAGAAATATGTGACGGTACAGTCACTAAGGAATGAGAACCTACATGGAGAAAGCTTGAGAAGTCAGATCTCCTAAAACGGTGAACTTCTCCCTTTGCCTCTAGAAGGAAATAATGTAAAAATCCTATTTTAAAAGTTAAATAGCTAGGAGTCAAAATAGGCATCTATCATGGTATGATGAATTTCAGATGGTTCATCAAAGCATGTGCCATAATAAAATTTGTTTGTTTCTATGGTGTCACATGTCTCTGTTATTATTTTTTAAGAGGCTAGCCCACCTTGTGATCCCTAACACTTTTATGGTATACAGGTTAGTATCCTATTGGTGTTTAGGCAAGAGTTGTGTAAGTTGCTGCAACTAATTACAGCTTCTGGGGTGCATCTCAGCTGTATGAGTGAGCAGGCACAAGACTTGCCTTGGCACTTCATCAAATAACTGTAATTAGACATGATGAGTTACTCAGACCTTACACAAACACCAACAGGATTCTGGCCATCTGTTTTTTGTTTTATCTTTTGGGAGCAAATTTTTTTGGTGGTAAAATACTGCTTTTAAAGTAATAGTATATATAATGAAAGGACAGATTTTCAACAGCAGATGAAGTAATGACGAAATTGCTTGAAAAGCACATAGTTCTAAATGTGTCATATAGATTATAGAAAATTCATTAGTATAACAATAAAAATTTAAAAATAACTTGCAATCACTTTGATTCTTTCAGGAAGAAGGGCGTTTTTCTTGGACAGATGGCTCTCCGTATCTGGAAACATCTAAGCTCTCTTCTCTGTTGATGATACCTGAAAATGAGACTGATTGTTATACTTTACAGAGAAATCCAGTCGGTCCAGATTATTTCTTTATGGGCTTTTTCTGCTATATTCCATTGCCATACATTTGCAAATACGAATGTAATTATTTATTGATTAAAAACATTTTTGTTAACTTCATTTTAGTAAAAATGTCTAAAATTGCCTATGTAGAATTGGCACTTGAATTGAAATATTTAAATTTTCCTTTTCAGTGCCTTCAGTTCCTGAAAACTTCACATTTAATGTGCAGGATATCAGCACTAACGAGGCAGCATTTTCTTGGAGTAGTTTGACCAGCTGGCTCAATTCAAGCTTTCAGCTCAGTGTTAAATATTATTTTGAACATTCAGTCCAATATATTGAAACTTTTACTTTGAATACAACACACACCAAAATTGTGCGGTTATGCCCAGGTCATTTCTATAAATTTTTATTGTCAGCAAGGAGTACTGAAGGATCACAAATTAGCTTGCATGCAGCCATCATGGTAGAAACAAGTAAGTTGCACTCTAATGAGATGTAAACCCTGCCTTTGCACATTTCATACATAAACTTTTTAGAAAAATATTGTCTTTTATTTCAGAGTGCTCTTTTGAAAACAGCAAAAATACATGTATTTATATGTATTTCCAAGGTATATTTTCCAGAACTGGCCACTAGAGGGAGGCAGAGACCATGCAATGTACTGTATAGCATTTCATACTTCCACATTTTTCAGCATCTGTAGAGGGGCTTTGGAACCAATCCCCCCACAGTTACTGTGGTATACTGTATTTGTTCTTGTGATCACATGCTAAGATTCAATGGCATGCCTCTGTATCCAAGGCTGGTGGAACTAGATCTCTTCTGTTTTCCTACTCTTATTCAAGTTCCCTATGGCACTGAATAACGTGTTCCAGAGGATTTGCAAGCCTGTTTTTAGAATGCACAGAGAGATGCAGGAGCAAGGAAGGACTGCTGATTCTGATGGAAGTAATAAGATCCAGCAGACATACATCATTGGATCCTGATTAGTATCATTATTCGGAACAGAGATATCATAGCTATGACCTGCTTACTGTTTTTTAATCAGTTTACTTGTTTATTATTTCTAACCCCAGAGTAGGGTATTATCAGTTTAAGTAGCATTCCTGTGCACATATTTTAGTAAGCATAAATAAGTCTCCACTGTTAAGTCTGCTAAATATACATTAATAGCAAACACTAATGAATATCGTTAGCAATGAGAAGTGGTTTATTTTTAGGCAAGTCAAAAGCACTGAAGAAAAAAGTCTATATGGTTAAATTAATTCACATAACAACTTTAAATCATCCAACCCACCAGAGTATGATCATCTTAATAATCAGGAAATAACACTGTTTAGTGGATAAAAATAAATCCTATAATAGTATCTCACCATTCTTTAAATCAACATATAGCTTTTACGCTTAAATATTTAAGTAGAATATTTGCAAAACAATAAAAAAATACAAGAGAGAAAATGGTGGGAAGAGAATTGTAACGTTGCCATCCTGTGTTCTCTAACTGAATACAGTGCATTCCCAAAGATGTACCTTGCAAACTGTGGGTTCCTCAGAAAGGATATGGGGTGTGGGATATTTGGACAGTGGGTCTGCAATGAGAAGATTGAATGCCCACAAATCACCTCAAAGCAGCTTGTGCCAACAACATGCTCAACAGACAAGCCATATATGTCCTCTTTTTTTGGTGATTTCCCTCTTTATTTGGACAGTGGGTCTGCAATGAGAAGACTGAATGCCCACAAGTCACCTCAAAGCAGCTTGTGCAAACAACTTGCTCAACAGACAAGCCATATGTGTCCTCTTTTTTGGTGATTTCCCCCTTTCAGTGTTGTGGTTCGGGAAATTACAGGGACTTATTTTATATCCCACCTATCTGGTCAATATACCACTCTATTGTGGTTCGGGAAATTACAGGCACAGAAATACAGTATTACATATTTCCTGCATTAGGTTAAGTTTTAATACTGCACAGAAAGGAATGAATTATTTGTAAATTAATTTATAGACAGTTCTGGTTTTTCTTATACCTTTCATTTAATAGATTATTTGTAAATTAATTTATAGACAGTTCTGGTTTTTCTTATGCAGTACCTTTCATTTAATAACCACTCTCTTCTGTTGTTTGTGTAATGGAATTTGTACCTTTAACTACTCATGGCAGAGTTGTATTTTCTCATTTTTTTTTCCACCATTAGGACCATTACATGTACCCAGTGTAAAAGCAACACAGGTGACAGCATCAGAATTAGTTTTGCAATGGGATTTTCCAACAAGCTCATGCAATGCATCTTTTCATCACTATCTTGCTAGCATTTTGGATAGCAAAACATCAACATGGGAAACCATCCGTTTTGGGAAAAGTAACACTTCAGCTGTAATTGCAAATATCAAATCATATCATCAATATCAGATACATCTTCAGAGTGTTTCTGAGAAAGGAGCTCTAAGCTGCTATGAGGATCCTATGCTAATAATAACAGGTAAATAATTTCTGTTGTGTAAACAGTATACACTAAGGCTGAAATCCTGTTACTTTGCTCATTAAGTCACAACTAGAGTAGGCCCAATGGAACTTATGGAGGTGTTGACTAACCACATTCCCACTGATTCCTTGGCCCCTATTCTAGTGTGACTTACACTCTAAGCAACAGACTTTTAACTGAAGACTTTTAACTGTTAGTGCATATGATTTCTATTAGGTAAAGGTAGTCCAGTCGTGTCCGACTCTTGGGTGCGGTGCTCATCCCCATCTCCAAGCCGTAGAGCCAGCATTTGTCCGTAGACAGTTTCCGTGGTCACGTGGCCAGCGCGACTAGGCATGGAACGCCGTTACCTTATGACCAAGGTGGTGCCTATTTATCTACTGACATTTACATGCTTTCGAACTGCTAGATTGGTGGGAGCTGGGATAAGTGTTGTGAGCTCACTCCATAACGTGGATTTGATCTTATGAATGCTGGTCTTCTGACCTTGCAGCACAGAGGCTTCTGCTGTTCAACCCGCAGCACCACCATGTCCCTGGTAGGCATCCTTCAGTCTCAAGAGACTATGGTATCATGCTCTGTATGGAGGTCTTGGAACAGTGTCTTGTGTGGCTGAGAAGGCCAATTCGAGAGTGACAATCCCTTCCACACTGACTTCTATTAAGACAGCATTAAAACTTAGATATTCTTGTGAAATGAAAATAGAGGCATATAGTGATTGTAATTCACCATGCAGTTAAACAAGCTTGTAGAATCTCCTTGATAATAAACAACCACGCTTTTATTAAAATAATTTCATAATTGTGAATCTGAATAGAGCTGGAAAAATAAAATGGTTTATTTCAGGGAGCAATGTTTTTCAGTACTTAAGGATTTGTACTGACTAGAAATTAAAAACTTAGAAGCATACCCAAGTTACTAAAGAACATACATTTCCATCTGTGCAGTTATCCGCCAAGCAGAGATATTTCCGATATCAATAGGAAAGTTCCTTGGTTTCTCTTTTTTTCTGCTCCTAGACTGGAGAAGGCTGAGAGAGTTGAGTCTTTGCCAAGACAGTATGGTTGTGAGTAATCTAGGAACTGTCCAGGGACATGTGAGAGATTTCTCTCTCTCTTTATTATTATGGTTATTTGGAAATGCTTGCATTTGTTTTGTTTAATTAAGTTATGCACAGATAAGAAGCTCTATGTTATTATTCTGTGATAACATTACCAATTTTTAAAAGAACAATGTGTAATAAACCTTAATCTCTTCTTAGATGACAACCCAACTTGCTTAGTGATTTTCCTGCTCTGCATGTATATGAGAAAATTCCCCATTTAAGAAAGGGAGAGGAAATCCTTTAGCCCCAGGTGTTCCCTCCCCCCTTATTCAGCCTCCTAGTTCCATACAGGAGACCAACTATTCTACAATAAAAATTCTCCAAACTGTTAATGAAAAGTGGTTCCTTCATCTCTGTTGGATGAATGGATGTTGTTGGTAGCAGTCAGCATCAAGTCAGTGAATAACTAAGGTGCTCTCTCTCTCCTCATAAAGGGGGCTGAGGGGAAACACCTTCACAACCCTAGCTGGCATAACTAACAGCAGAGAAAAGTATATGTTCTACAACATCTGAAGTGTCACAGGGTAATATACAGGTCTTCTGTTAGAACATAGTAAGAAACTTTGGAGACAAAATCACACACCTTTTCTGTAGCATTTGAATCAGGTGAGGTGGTGTATATTCTGATCACGGGACTGGGTATGGTTTACCTGGCCAACCATCTTACCCAGTATGGATCCACATGGTCACGAAAACATTAGAAGAAGCCTTGCTGGTTTCTGCGTGACTTGTATAGGGCAATTTTACCAGACATTTGTTTTAATTAATTATTTCATGTTCTATATTTTAATGTTTTATTTAAATATTTTTATTGGTTGAAAAATATTTTATTTGTTATATGTTGCTTAGTGATATTATTAAATATGGGAGTCAGTAAGGAAATTGATTTTAAAACATATAGATGAATATAATGTGAATATCATTTTATTTGCTTAGGTGTGAGTCCGCCCACTCATGTATTCATCCTTCCAGAAGATATAGGAGAAGAGCATGTTATTATCTACTGGAAACTGCCACAAGAGGGCCAGGAATCCTACATTCAAGCACGACCTGTAGCAGTCATGGACAAAAACATTACATTTTTAGTGAACAACACGGACAGTTTTAAAATTGAACCCCTGATACCAGGAATGACTTATGAGATAGGTGTGGCCACCGTGACTAATGGAAACAGGAGTGCCCTCAATACTGTTCAATGCACACTTAGTAAGTTTTTTTTAAACATTGATAAATTTGTTTCTAACATTGTTCAGAATTAAAACAGAAATCCTCAGATGCTTTTCATTTCATTTTCAAGGAGTAAAGTTTTGTTAGTACTTGACATCTTTATCTTTTGAGGCATTGGATGTTTTATGATTACATTTGATGAGTCAAGATTAAGAGTTGTGAAGTTTATAACATTTAGCAGATAACAGAAACAGAATTAAAAGTGCACGCTGTATCACAGCTCTTCATAATTGTTTGTAAGCAATATTGTATCTGACCATATTTGATCAGGCAGTCTTCCTTATGACTATACATTGTTCTCTATTAGAAAATAAGGTGCACTTTTACTATTCTAATTTGCAGCTGTTTTAAAAATGCTTTTTTTTTTCATTTTTCCCTTTCTGTTGCCAGAACCCAAACCAGTGAAGACAGTTATTCCTTACGAAGTTCATACTACATTTGTGATTTTATTTGTTCAAATGCCTGCTGTTGGAATCACTGATGGCATACGTGTTATGAGTAAAGGAGACTTTGATGCATCATTTCCTTTATTGATTGATGGGAAGGTAGTTGTAGAGGATTTAATCCCAGGCACAGAATATGACTTCTTCATTTCCACAACCAGTGGATATATGTTAAGTTCTGATTACCACTTGCCAGCTATTAGAACATGTAAGTTATGAAACATCCCAGAACTTCAGTATTCAGTTGGTTTGGTTATAAAATAATTTGCCCAGTTTATATAGTGTTTTGAATATAACACTATATAAGCTGGGCAAATTGGAAAATCTCTGTGTGGGGCATATTTAATTAAATCACATAAATTCTTGTTGGCACGTATTGGCATTAGTGATTTGTCATCCCACAGCTGTTTGAAGTCTACTAATAACAGCTACATTTGGCATTAGTGATTTGTCATCCCACAGCTATTTGAAGTCTACTAATAACAGTGTGTTATTAACATGGATAATATTGTTAGTTTTTGACAAATCACTTCTTTAATCTTATTAGCTTGAAATATTCAGTCTGACAGTTGTAATTTATTGCACATTAAATCTGCATAGGATTGCAACCCTGGGTTAATTATGCATAGGATTGCAATCCTTGTTGTTGCTGCAGGTGGTTTTTTTTTGATAATCCACAGCCTCTTTTGCTGTGCAATGGTGTATCTATATGTACAATAATACTGAGTTCTATCATTCTACAGTCAACTTGAATATATACTGATGGACATTAAAATTCATAGAAAATAGATTGGACCTTAAAAATAGTAGAAAATAGCTAGAGACAAAAGATTTCAGATATGCAATATATCGGTGATTTTTTTCCCTTCTTGGCAAGAAGGCAGAACCTCAAGGAGGATGTTCAAGACATGATGGCAGACCCTAAAGGAAGTAATTCAAAATATGACAGGAGTCTCATTCTGTGTTTTGTATGTGTTTTATCTTCACTCTAATGTACCTGTTGCCAAATCACTAAGATTATATATCCATGGTAGGCTTAAGTGCAACAAGATGGGTGTTCCTGAAAAAAATACAGAGTGCAACTATACAGTACAGCCCCTCCTCCTGATGTCCGACCTTCCACTCCCCATAGGATGGAACTTTCCCTCCAAACCCATGACAGACAGGTAACATCAGTGCTGTATGTAACACCTCCTCTCTTTATAAGTTGTTTTGTAGGGGGAAAGCTAAGGTGCTTTTCACCAAAAAACAACCTGGTTCCAAAACATACAAAAACAGTTATA